TTTGACGTTGATTCCAACCCCGTTCTGGGAGCTCCTGCGACCACGTTGACACCAAACTGTATCAGCACTGCTGTTCCTTTGGCCCCGTCATCGAGGTGGAGAGGGGGGCAAGTTGCATGGGCAACAGCCTGTTCCCCATATCAGAATGCCCAGGCTTACATCCGTCCATATCATCACTTACTGGAGAGGACACTCCAGCATCGCCATTTATTTGGTGTTGACACAACACGGGAAGCAGCAGATACCGGTTATGAGCCATTGCTTAATTGGCGTAGAGCACGGCACCAGGGGTTGCTTCTGATGGTGGGAGAGATTTTCGTGTCTCACTGGACAGCTACCACCCGCCTCAAGCTGGGCAGCCAGTAAGGTGTTGTCCAGTCATGGTCTGCCTTCTTCATTGGGTGTATGGAGATTAGGAAAATACCTTCCGACAAGCAGATCATCAACTACCACACCAGGCATCAATAAAATATCATCAATGAAGAGACCAGCTCTAAAACTGGGATGTTGGAATGTCTGGACCATGATGCCCGGCCTTTCTCAAGACCTCTGAAATACCAGTGATACAGGAACTGCAACTGCTGATGGACCGCTTCTCGTAGGTCTGCCAAGAATTTGGACTAACCATCAGCCTGAAGAAGACAAATGTCCTGAGCCAGAACACACTGGCACCACCAGTCATCAAGATCAATGACTATGAGTTCGATGTCATTCACCAGTTTATCTACCTTGGCTCTACCATTACTGACAACCTCTCGCTTGATGCTGAGATCAACAGGAGGATCGGTGAAGAGGAATTGACAGTGGCGGCAGAAGAGAAGCGAGCACATCAAAAGGAACAGGCAGCCAACAGAACCACAATGCATTATTTGTTAAAACTGAATGTAAAACTCAGTATGAAGTTCTATGTACAAGTTGCCCTACAAGTTATTTATTTAGTTCTAAGTAGTGTTTAAATACTCAGTTTGTTTATAGATTTTAATATTTACTCAAACTTTATGCCATACAAGTATCATTTTCTTTCATCTTTCAGTGGGAAAATGATACATCAACAACAGAGCTGGGTAATTAGTGGAATATCACTAATTGTTAATTGTCGGTCTTATTATTCAGTTATTGTCATGCAAGAATAAGCTTTCTATTTTTAGCTTTTTTTTTTTTAAGGACATTTGTGATCCACCATTCATTTGGAACAAACCAAGTTGAAATGGGTGGCTACAGCCTAATTTAGAGTAACACTTGAGGAGAAAATCTTGGAGGACTAATGTACAAAATGGCTCAGGTGGACAGAACCTGAAAATGAAAAATGGAAGTCGTATGACATGTCATCCTTTCCACCTGAGCTACTTTTGTAAATTAGTCCTACAAGACTTCCTCGTCAAGTGTCACTGTGAACTAGGTTGTCCGTTTCGACTTTATTTGTTCATACTTATAAAATGCTAACCCTTATAACTCTATTAATAGGTGAACTGAACTTTCTGTTCATTATTCTATCAATTGATATACTTTCCTTTATTCTTAATTCCTGTTTATTTATTAGCCCTGGCCAAGATTTTAAAGTTTTCTGTACGTATGGGTTCATTCCAACTATATAGCACATACCTCTTAATACTAAATATTAAGATGATAATAAATTTGCATGCTCTTTAAGGCTCATGCTTAACTGTTTTTCTTTTTTTTTTTTAGGGAGCTAGCTGGGCTCCCAGAACATGCATTTGTAGGGACCAATCCTATAGCTCATTGTAAAATGTACTCTACAGTGGAGGTTATCAGTAAAATTACTGAATTAAATATTGGATGTTACGTAAATTGAAGGGAAACTGAAGTTATCAATATATCTCAATTTATTTTGCCGTGAACTCGTATTTCATGAAAAAATATATTTCATTTTTTTCACACCACTCAAATATTTTTATTTTATATATGATTTTAAATTTCTCTCTAAAGCATGGTATAACAGTAACTTTTGTTCCCCTTTAAAATAGTCCTTTAATAACCAAAATGAATAATGAAAAGAAATATAGTGTGTATCAGTGTCATTGTCTGATGATGTCTCAACGTCCATTTCTTGGATTCTTCCTTCGTCCCCTTCTTCGTCACTCTCCTGCACCTGCTTTTCAATCTGAACCCTGCCAGCATTTGTCTCCTTGTGCAAAGTGATCTTGAGTTCCAAAGATGGATAGCTGTTATGGGATCTAAGTCACTTACTGAAGGAAAGTGGAGCATGACCATAAGCTGATCAGTGATCCTGTCAGCTCCCAGACAAGATCTAAAATTGATATTAATCATCTTCACATTGGTTCCTTCTTTCCCTGCCTCAGCAGAACTGGCTGGTACTGACAGCAGTAGCTGAAAGAGGCCACAGATGTTAGGTAGCTCCTCCTTTACTCCAGGCTGGCCTTTCTTGCTATGCTTGGTGAAACTAAGTAATGAAATAGATGTGGAAAATGTATTGGAGTGACCGTCATGAGAATTGCAATAGTATTCCTGTTTTTAAATCATTATTCTGTATTCATTTGAAGTTATTATTTTATATTATGCAGTGTTTTACTGATGATCTGTTCAGCAATCAGAATCGGGCCGATTATTGAATAATTGGGCAGCAATCGGAATTGGTAGAAGCTGTTGAATTTCTTGATCATAGAAAAATTCAAAGTAACACCACCCAAACCACTTTGTTCACAACAATAATTTTACTGATTTGTAAGTATGCTTATAAGCATGACTCTGTGCATTTTTTCTCTTTCAACATACACCATAAAAAAAAAAGCTTTGAGTTTTCACAAGAAATATGAAAGTTAACTTTCAGTAAAGAGGTACACTCTGCTAGTCTTGATATACTCTTTACATACCAACATATAACACGTACAGGAAACTATAAAACTGTGCATTGTACTATTATACCATAATGTTAATGATCTAATGAGATGTTTGAAAACATGTATTTCAAGAGCTCATGAGTTATGCCACTTCTTCTCATTTTCTGCTTAGTAATGAAATTAATGATCAATTGGATGAGTTGCTATGGGATCAAGATTAGCCCCATCACTTGCAAATGTGTTTCTTTGTCATCATGAAAAAAAAAAAAGTGGCTTGAGGAATGTGCAGCTCAGTCTGGGGCTGATTAGGTCCATGGCTAATATATCCTCCCTGTGTAAAAGACAGTAAATCGTCCTTTAATGTATTTAATTCACTTTGAAATTTACTAATCTTTTCCATTTGTACTTCTTGTTTCCTTTCTTGTTCCAGTTGCCACTGGTGCTGGTTTTCTTGCCACTGCTGTAGTCTCTCTTCTTGTTCATTTTCTTTCTCCTCCAACCACTGCTGTTGTCTCTCTTCTTGTTTATTTTCTTTTTCCTACAACAACTGCTGTAATCTCTCTTTTTGTTTCTTTTCTTTTTTCCTCCAACAACTGCTGTAATCTCTCATCTTGTTTCTTCTCTCGTTCTTCTTGTTTATTTTCTTTTTCCTCCAACAACTGCTGTAATCTCTCTTGTTTATTTAGGTGTTCGAGCTGGCACTGCTGTTGTCTCTTTGCTGTTCTTGTATTGCTGCCATCAAATCTGCTAAGTTGTAGTTTGATTTGCTACTTCTCGTTTCCATCTTTTTGTTTTCTCTCTATCCCACTCTCTGACACCAATTTGTTACCTATCTGTTTGTTTGTTAATTTCCGATATAAATTCTTTCCGAGGAACTTCAGCGATACAAGTCCTTTCTTAATTCAAACTAGTTTATTCTTTTTCGATACAACTTTGTAATACACTTAACAACTTTTATAACACACGCTATAAATTACAGTGATTCACATACTTTACTTATGGTGCCTACTGTTCGCTTGACTCAATTATCTCTATCTTCAATCTATCTGTATATCTATCTTTTCTTTTATTTGCAGGGCTTATATACTAAAAAAGAGGGTGTCCCGAACAAACTAGGAAATTCATGATCATTCGAGAAACTCCTCGCACACACCAACAGTGCGTCACGTGACTTCCGCTGTCATAACAATAATGTTTATGTGACACTAATCAGTGTAATCGATACTCATAGATAATCGGTTATATCGATTAATGGAGTTAATTGCCCAGCTGTATTCAAAGTCTGGTGTATTTTGTATTATTATTTAAGAAGTGGAGTGACATTTCTAACATTTGAGTTTTAAATGCATTAAATGATTACCTTTCAGGAATACTTTAGTAGCCAAGGTGGTCTTACAGGACTTCAAATTGATATAAAGTAGAGAGAGAGACTATGTTTTAGTGTGTCTCCATTATAATTGTTAGTATATCCTTACGATAGTTTTATGAACTAAGCTTCTGAAATCCATTTCCCTTATTTGAACAGTTTTCAGGTTGACTATGAATACATTGCAATGAGTTATATTCTCTTAATTAAAATGAAAATTATGAGGACTTGTGTAAATGATGCAGAATTAGATTTAACACTGTGTGTTTGCTTAATCTTGTGTTCAAGATTAACTAACTAATCTTGTAAGTGTTTTTGTCGTTGCAGTCCACTTTTTTTAGCAGCCGGAATCCACTGTGTATAAATATGGATTCTGTGCAGCTCCAAGGGCTTGGTCAAATTCTTCAAAGACTCGGTGACCTGGAATCTGTCATCAGTTCTATGAAAACAAAGCAAGAAGAACAGATTAAATTATTAAGAGAAAGCCAGTTAATAAACAGAAAAGACTCCAAAAACATTTGTTGTTGTGGATCAGCAACTTGTTATAAATATCCTATACCTATTAAAGTAAATATAAATCAAGAATCAGCAGCTGTACCTCCACCTCCTCCTCCTCCTCCTCCACCACCACCTCTCATTTCCTCGGTGTTACCCGTGATAAAACCAGTAAAGAAAAACTCAGAAGATTTGTTTGGCAAATCACCGTGTAAGAAAGCAAAACTATCCGGACCTCCTGCCATAACATTGGAAGCTATAAGAAATGTCAAGCTTAAACAAGTGGCAAATAGAAGTACAGGAGGAAAGGTAATATTAAAGGTCTAGAAATATTAGTATCTAATAGTGCTGTTAGTTTAAAAAAGTTTGTACTCCTTTCACCATTTTATTTTATGTTTATTTCAGAGGTCTCAGTGAGAAGATAAATAAATAGATGAAAAATTTCAGTTATAAAATATACAGCAATATAATATGCTGAACTGACTTGGTTAATTTATGGCTTTTGCTTATGAAAGAGCATACTCTTTTTTTTATATAAAGGCTTTGTACTTCTCCCTTCAAACTGTTTTAAGATCTTAACAAGGCCTAATGATGAACAAAGCCTTTATATAAAAGAGCTTTGTAGTTGTCCGTTCATATAGTTTTAAGATCTTAACAAGACTCACTGATGAACAAAGTCTTCATATTAAATAGAGCTTTGTAGTTGTCCATTAAAACTGTTTTAAGAACTTAACAAGGCCTAATGATGAACAAAGCCTTTATATAAAAGACAGCTTTGTTGTTGTCCATTAAAACTGTTTTAAGATCTTAACAAGACTCACTGATGAACAAAGTCTTCTTATTAAATAGAGCTTTGTAGTTGTCCATTAAAACTGTTTTAAGAACTTAACAAGGCCTAATGATGAACAAAGCCTTCATATTAAATAGAGCTTTGTAGTTGTCCATTAAAACTGTTTTAAGATCTTAACATGGCTTAATGATGAACAAAGCCTTCATATTAAAGAGCTTTGTAGTTGTCCATTAAAACTGTTTTAAGATCTTAACATGGCTTAATGATGAACAAAGCCTTCATATTAAAGAGAGCTTTGTAGTTGTTATTAAAACTGTTTTAAGAACTTAACAAGGCTCAATGGTGAACAAAGCCTTCATATTAAAGAGAGATTGGTCATTTTTAAACAAAGGCTGCAAAATAACCATATCAGTTCAACATATAAATTGCTGCTGTAACAGGTGCAGTTAGTTGTGGATTCAAACTTTCACTCATTACAAATAAATTGATTTAAGTCCATGATATTTACACAGTCATGGGTTAGGCTCACAAATCACCAACTTGAGAAAGTTTATGTAAGAAATAAAGAAATCACTCGGAGATTGGTGAACAAAGCAATACATATACTTTTCTTATTTAATTACATAAGTACAAATGACATATACATATTTGACGACTCAATTACTTAAGTGCAACTGGTTATCCTTCATATACGTTTATATTAATGTTACAAGTTCAGTCAAGACAGCTATTAAACAATCATTTATTTTGATCAGATCATTCCATTCTCTGCTCATTATTATTTGTACATTGCTAGATAAAAGTGAGATGTCCAAGTAAACTTTCACAGAGGTTGCATAGTAGAAGTTTCGGTATGTGGTAGCTTTGGCCATTCTTCTAACTTTGGCTTCTGGCTCAAGACTGGACAAGAGAAGGGAGAGAGAGAGATCACTGTAAAAACTTGGAGAGATAGAGGGCCCAAAGAGCTGCGGAGAGATTCCTTACATTAGCCTAAAAGGCTCTCAGATAAGATTACTTCATAGTTGGGAGTAGTATCAATCCATACCATGTAGATTACAATGACCTCACTTTGGATTCGTTGGTACCATTGATGTGATAGTCTTTCTGGACACTTGACCATTCTTCGTGATACACATTTCAGCAAAAACAATGTCTGTTGTAAGAACTTTCTTTTTTTCTTAGGCATCAAATTTCGTTACTAGCAGTCTCATCACAGGGAATTCTATGCCAGCATTTCTACGCTGCCCCATTTGTGTTTTATAAACATCCTGTTAACTCTCTTCACTTAGGATGTCTGTGTAGCATTGCCTAAAGACATTAATAACTTATGAAGATTGTTCTTATTAAATCATCTCGCTGGAAGATAAACAAGGGGTGCCATCACCATGTACCATACTCCTTATTTCGTATAAGGTCAGCTCTGTGTCTTAATAGAGTTCATAAGAATAATAAATCATTTAGGTTACTGATAATGGGTATGTTGAAAGAAAACGTTGAACACTGTTTTAATTTTTTTTCTTAACTCCTGTTAACCTCGTATGGTCAGTCATTTGTCACACTAACGTTACGCATCTTTGGCGTATTAACTTATTACGCTTAATGGCATTACACTTGGCTGTATGAAAAAAAAACTTACAAAACTAAAGAAAATGTTTTTCTAGAACATTTGCATTATAAGTGATTGTTTTATTGTTTATGTTATAAGAAAATAGAGTACTAAAGATTTCATTTCACAATCTATCAAAATTTTCTTTCTTCTAATAAAATTTGTCTTGGGCTACAAATAAGCTGAGTTTAGATCTTTAGTATTCAAATCAAAAGAGCGATGTTGAAAAAGCTGATTCTGATTGTTGTTTGTAGATGAAGTCTGAGCAAGGTGGCGGCGGCAGTACTCAGATTGTCTCTCTGGAGGATTTGAAGTCTGTATCGCTACGGGCAACCAAAAGAATACACATATGTGAAGAAGATAAAGAAAATTATAAAATTAGGTAGCAGAGTAAGAATTTTGTATCTTATTTTTCAATTACTGTTATGAAATTAAACATTTTTCAAAACTCGTGTTTGGTTGAAATTACAAACAACAAAGGTTGTTTATTAGTTTGCTGCATTTCACCACAACAAAAGGCTTGGTCGTATTCTTAGGCTTGCTCTTGTCCAAAGTTACTGATAACAGATAGATCTCTGAAAGACTGGTCTAACTCATTGATATGGGGTGAATCATTACTCAATTAGGTTTGATGTTTTACTGCATATGAAAATCGGGTTAAAAGTTTTGATAAAGTTAATTCTTAAGGGGTGTGATAAAAATTATCTATTGTGAATTGGGGCAACTGAATTATTGGAGATACTTATCAAATGTGGAAAAATGTTTAAACATTCAAGATAGACATGTGACAAGTAAAAGACCAGGTTAGCTTACAAAGAGTATAAGGGAAAAAATTAAAGAAAAGCTTTATAAATTTAAGAAATTTTAATTGACTGGTATGATAAGAGACTTAGAAGATTATAGAAGATCAAGAAAGTTGGTTAAACTGGACATTAGGAAATTGAAAAGGGTTGTGAAGAAAAGGTTGCCTGAAAAATGTAAAAACGTACAGTAAGAATTTCTTTAAATGCATTAAGGGTAAGCAAAACGTTAAGGTGGGAGTAAGTCCCTTGAGGGATGACAAAGTAAGGCTCATCTAGCTTATATAAAAGCCGGTGTGTGTCACGTCACATCACGTTTGATCTCTCTCAATTTCTCAAAATAGGAGGAGTCATAAAAGCCAAAATGCATTTATCCAAATAGAATAGTTCGATTACTATCTACCCATTATGATTTTAGTGATGGGGGTGCAAGGGGGCTATGAGGTGTGTGATGTGAAACCTTATAAGTGTAGTGAGTGTTGTATAATAAGCCTAAAGTAAAGATGTAGTGTGAGATTACCTAGCCTATAGCCGATTGCATACATTTTATTATGAAAGTCAAAATATTGATTAAATATTAAACTTAAATTGTTTCTGAATTAAGCTATTTTCAGTTATATTGCCAACGTTTCTAATGAAAAACAAACCTCTTTAATCAATGGAGAAATCAACAAATATTTTTCCAGTTCTGTTGTCTATTCAGTACATAGACTAACAACAATATTAGGTTGTACTTTTGTTGCTAAGCAACATGACAGTTGTTGGAACTTAGTGTTACCAAAACACGCTGGCTTTTCTATATATTAAAAGTTGTTAATCTAATTGATTTTTATCGCTAATTATTCTATGAATACGCCACAAATTCATTTCACGAATGATCTTAATTTTGATTGCCTCACAAAGGAATTTACCGACGTTTGACTGCTTCTACTGCACTTTTGTGCCTCTTTGTGGGTCAAACTTGATTTTGCAAAATTTATTTATTTCAGTTAGCTATGAAATAAGAGGTTA